ACGAGGGATGAACTCGCGCATTCAGCTCGGGGCTTCAAATCTGACAGTAGAAAAAAATATACAAAAGTTGTAAAACAAGTTTTCTGAAGTTATATATGTTTGCGGGGAAAGTTACGGCATTCTCTGGAAAACAATTTTTATGCGTTTTTACAGCTATGCAATGCAGAAAACGCATTTTGACGAGGGGTTGTCTGTGTGTGTGTGTGTGTGTGTGTGTGTGTGTGTCTTTGTGTCTGTGGGTCTGTGCGTCCGTGTGTGCGTCTGTCACGGTTTTTCATCTCAAGACCTACAAAAGCTACAGCGCTGAAACTTTGGAAACTTAATCTACATGCACGTACGGGCCCCAATCCCTAAAATTGGCGCCATTACCCGCGTGGTACCCGCGTACGGGCCCGCCAAAATTTTTGGGTAAGTTCATAACTCGGGGATCTGAGAAGCTAGAACGCTGAAATCTTAGGGTAATGTTCCCCGTCCAACTAGATATTAATGCACCCATAGCCATCCCCCGGGCATGCGTGGTACCCGCGTACGGGTCCACCAAATTTTTTTCGGGTAAGTTCATAACTCGGGGACCTGAGAAGCTGGAACGCTGAAATCCTAGGGCAATGTTCCTCGTCCAAATATGTATTAATGAGTTCAAACGTACGGGCCCTTGAAAGTTACTCCGGGTAAGTTGCTAACTCCGGGAAGTGAGAAGCTAGAAGACTGGGATTTTGAAGGGATGTTTCCTGACAATCTCGGCGGCCAGTCTGAAATTCTTTTGGCTAGAACCATCTGTCACAAAAACCAGTACCGTTAGCGACAAAAATCTTCGGGGAGCTATGCAAAAAACCCATCTTCGCACGGGCAGCCCGTGCGTTGGCCAGTTACAAGAGGATGTTTTAAAATAGTCTGCCTATTAATTTGAGGTGAGCAGTCTAAACTGAGGTTTCATTTTTCACCATATTCTGTCGATGTCCTCAAATTCGGACTAATTTTGTAAATTAAAAACTAGAAAAGCAATGAGCTGGAAATTTTGGCGAACTAAATCAGGGCAATTAGTAAAGGATAAGATTTCGAAAATCGTCACTGCTCCAGAAGCTACAAATTACTTAGTTCACACTGAGGACACTTTTAAAGTTTGAAAATGTGCCTCCATAAGCTGTGGTGGCTCGAAATCAGGCATCCCTGCTCTGTGGCCCATTAGCTCACTTCACCATGCCTGCTGCCATTGGGCTTTCGCAACAAAACAAGCCATAAATTCGAAATTTTGTTGCTTTGCGTTCGC